AGCAAAATATTGGAATTTTCTCAGTTCCCCAATTTGTCACAGACAAGCTGCCAGGAAGACGACGTTTCAACTTACGTTCAACATTTAAATGCCCTCTATTCAGATTTTGAATCTATGTTTGAGGATATTTTGGCTATGGTAATACCACCGTGGATAATTAATCCATATGGTGACATAGAAGAAACGAATGTCATAATACAAGAGGAACTGACTGAGCTAAGTACAAACGAAGAACTTAAGGTTGAGTTTAAAAACGGATATCAGCAATTCTGGCTGGAATATAGCGAGGAAATTTTTAATTTCCTTTCCATCGTCATACCTAGTGGAAAGGGGGTTCAGCGCTATTACCAATCTCCTAACGACAAAAAGAAACAGACTGGACATCATTAGCCGAGGAGATTTAAGATTAACCCTTACAAAATTGACGCCAATTGTTGATAATTTATTATTAAAGCAACGGATTCATCCTTCTCACTAAAAATATTGACTTATTGCTTATGTTATTTTATTTATAGTTTATTTTATGTTTATTGGTGTCTGACCAATAAATGCCCGCATTGGGAATAAGTGCCCGCATTGATTTTTATAGAAAATATTTTTTTTAATTATTCTGAAAATTCAAGGATAGGTACACACTAAAATTCGTTAATTATTTGCCCATTTTTAGATAACTTAAACGTATAAGAAGCGGAATTTAATCAAACTAACAGTGAAATTATTGTAGAACATACGTTTATGTTATAATTAATAAACGAACTCGCTTATTGTACTATTTTAAGTAAAAAACTTTTTTTTTATTACTTTTCACTTTTTTTATTCTATCCCACTTATTTTTTTTTTCAATGCGGGAACTTATTCCCAAAGCGGGCACTTATTGGTCAGACACCTGTTTATTTAATGTTACGTATATACAGATACAAAATTTTATTTTGAGTAGTTTTAATTTAAATTCAATTAATAAATGTATAAATTAACACATTACAGTTAGAAATTTACAGGAAATCAATATCAGGTAAGTAGGGGGTCTACCCAAAACGAAAAAACATGGCAAGGGGTCTACGACACAAAAAAGTTTGGGGAACTCTGCTCTAAGCTAAAGATCGTTTAACAATATAACAGACCTCTAATTGTAGTGCACCTTTCTGAAAATGCCTTAACCAACCTAAAAGCCTGGGCCCTTGACGAACCACCATCTAAGTAGTGAAATCTTTTGATCTTTCGTGAATGGCATTTTGATTGGCTTTACATTTCTTACCAATAGAGGTGGCGGTCTTCGTAGCAAAGTAGAAACACTTGATGTACGCATTCCCTTCTCCACTATAGACAAACCCATTACTGCCAATTCCTTCCCACGACGAAAACGCGTAGTAAGCACAGGCATTCAGATGGATCAGGTACATCATATTCATCAACGTTTTGGTCAATCTGATGATGTAAGGATTTGGCAGAAGCTTGTCCACGAAGCTGCAGAATTCCGTGAAAGAATGAGTTTTGAAAAATCGCGGAAATCGGAGCAACACTGCTTCAGGATTGATGAAGAAGTACAGCACATCCAGAGGAAGTAGCGATACCAGATCGAGCTGAAATCAAGGTACGATGTCACTGTGGGATTCTTAATGTAAAACTGTTAGAAATGTTCACATTTTCGTCCTGAAATTAAATGGGGAAAAGTATATATTATTAAAAATATTTGAAGTTGTAGTATTAAAATTAGGGTATTATCACATTTATACTCAATTCTGGGAGTTTTTTTCTTAATGTAAAACTATTAGAAATGTTCACATTTTCGTCCTAAAATTAAATGGGGAAAAGAATAGCATTCCACTATTTGAAGTTGTAGTCTTAAAATTTCATTAACTAATGTTTATTGACGAAACGTTTGCTCAAAATGTCAAACAATGACATGAATGATTCAATTCAATATTCAGTTTCAAAAAGTAAACAATTGAAAGGAACAGGGGAAAAAAGATGAATGTCACAAATTTGGAGTTTTGTAGTTAAAACCCGCAACATGTAGTTTTGACGCAGTACCGTCCCATGAGGTATTGCAAACACGCAAAAACAATGACAGTTCGTAGTTAAACTCAATTGAAACTTGCCGTACAGAGAAAAAAGATCAATGTCAAAGCCGTTTTATGAAAAAAAGATGAACGTACACTGATCGTCACCGAAATAGTTTACCATACACCAAGCTGCGACGAAAGAAATAAATGTTAAGTAATCATTTTTAAGCAGTTACCATTGATTATGTTTTGTTTGTTCTATATTCTTTTTTTTGGTTCATTGTTTTTTCCTGCTGCAATTAAAAAAATACTTAGAACTAATTCTGTGCTTGAGCTATTGAGGTTAGAAAGTTTCTGATGTTCTAGGCCCTGTTTCCTGTTAAGGTAACGGGTGATTTTTTAAGAGGTATAGGATTTGATTTTCAAAAAACACAAAAAATTTGAAAAAACGATTAAATCTTTATTTGAGTCGATAGAACGGTCGATATAATTTAATGTTTAAAGATTATTTTATGTAAATGTTGGCCGCGGCTCCGCTTTAGATGGCCCATTCGCAAGGTCCAATTTTGGCACACTCTCTCCAACATATCGGCCGGTATCTCACGAATAAATGCTTCAATATCGGCTTCCAGTGCGTCAATCGTTGCTGGTTTATCCCTGTAGACATTAGCCTCAACATGGCCCCACAAGAAATAGTCCAACGGCGTTAAATCACACGATCTAGGCGGCCAATTGACGGGCCCCAAACGTGAGATAAACTGTTCACCGAACTAGCCTCTCAATAGGGCCATTGTTTCGTATGCGGTGTGGCATGTGGCACCGTCTTGTTGAAACCACATGCCAGCCAAGTCCAGCTCTTCCATTTTGGGCAAGAAAAGTTTGTTATCATCGCACGGTAGCGCTCGCCATTCACAGTTACGTTCCGGCCATTGTCGTCTTTGAAGAAGTACGGCCCGATAATGCCACCGGCCCATTTTTTCGGGATGCATTGGTAGCTCTTTTAATGCTTCTGGCTGGTCTTCACTCCAGATGCGGCAATTTTGCTTGTTAACGTACCCATTCAACCAGAAATGAGCTTCGTCGCTGAACACAATTTTTCGATAAAAATGTGGATCTTCCTCCAACTTTGCCAGCGCCCATTCACCAAATTGGAAACGTTGTGGGACGTCGTGTGGCTTCAATTCTTGCACCAGCTGTATCTTATAAGGTTTTACACCCAAATCCTGTCGCAAAATTTTCCACGTAGTGGAGTAACAGAGGCCCAATTGCTGCGAACGGCGGCGAATCGACATTTCACGGTCATCACTAACACTGGCGGATACAGCCGCAATATTTTCTTCAGTCCTCACTCTACGTCTGCGTGTTGGTGGTTTAATGTCCAATAATATAAACTGGGTTCGAAATTTAGTCACAAGCTTCCGAATAGCTCCATCAGTAGGCCGACCAAATTGGCCATAAATTGGAAGCAGTGCTCGATGCACTCTCTTAACCGAGCATGAATTTTGATAGTAAAATTCAATAATTTGCAAGCGTTGTTCGTTCGTAAGTCGATTCATGGTTAAATTATAGACCAAACTGAACAAGTTTGACAATGACACAAGACACGTTTCACGCGTCATCTGTCAAAAACAGTGTTGCCAAAAAGATACTAGCAAAAAAATCACCCATTAGTTCTCAGATTAGAACAGATCGTAAAACCTAAGATATGCATTTTGCTGGCTAATCAACCGTCAGATTTTACAGGGTGTCGCATATGACGATAGGCTCATTTCTAGCCACAATATCTCAAAAAAAGTTGAATTCAGGCATGGACGATCACATACAAAATAAGAAGAATCTCAAAAATCCATTAAAAATGTTTGGTCTTGGTTCACTTTGGGCTACCCTGTATATCAGAAAATATATTTTTATTTACAATTTTACTTTTTTTCACCTTCTTATAATAAGGAATCTATGGTATTCCGTCAGATCTCTAACACACCCTGTGCAACGAGTCTTCAAAATTTTAAATTCACTTTTCTTGAGACTCACTTTTGTGATATTCATCTTTTTTCCCATGTACCCTTCAATTGAACCCATCATTGCAAACGTTGTTCAAAAAATGGTGAAAGTGTAGTCTCAAAACAGTTATAAAATTGGTACATTCACCATTATTAGAACAACGTGAAAGTTTACTCGCACTGACTAACTAGCATAGTTACGGAAAGCAAACATGCCAGTTTCAACGTGAATTGTGCATCCCATTGGAAAGCGTTCTGTATTTCAGTGCACGAGATTCACTGTATTCATTCGAAAAAAATCTTTATCGTTTTAAGAGCTATTTAATTTTAGTCGGTCAGCTTTGAACAAATTGAATGGCAATGGAGTATACAGGGTGTTCCTTAATGATATGCGAATATTTAAGGTTGTGAATCTACATGAAAAATTAATGTCAGTTTGCCTTTATAAACTCTGGTCCAAAAATGTTTCCTTACAAAAACTCGGGGGTTGAAGTTTTAGGGACACCCTGTGTAAACATCCCCAAACACGGTTTCTGTATTTTTAAGTCCTGAATAGGGGACCTCGGTTGGCCGCGTGGGTCAGAATGTCGTGCTACTGATCAGCCGGTCGGCCGGGCCGCGAGTTCGAATCTCGCCTTGGCCATGGATGTTGTGACGTCGTGTGTTTGTCCATAATTAGAAATCTAAAATATAACAACCTAGTTTCTGGCTGCATGGATTAGGTCCTAAAGCCAAAAAAAAGTCCTGAACAATATTTGGACTGTGATTTGGACGTTGGATTGTCAACAAATGTTGTAAGAGTCGGAAAATTTCTCATTTTACCTGTGTAGATGTCGTACGTTTGTCTTACCATTGAATGCGATAGTCATTAGATTATTGAAAATAGAAAAAAATAAAATCTATTTTCTATACCTTGGCTTATAAAGTCAGTAGAATATTTTTTGTAGTATGGCAGTACGTAAAGAAAGTAATGATTCCGAAAAAGTACATTCGCAAATCTGATTTTGAGCTTTTTGTTTAGTAAGGATTTCGAATAATTTATTCATCATTTTACTTAGCTTTCGAATTTTGAGGGCCTCCAAACTTTCCTTAAATTATACGTCGTCGCGGTGATTATACATATCGTATGTCACTTACCTTGAACCTGACGCTTTTCATGTACCTATTCCTGAGCAAAGTTCTATCTGTCACCCAGAACCCATCTTGTAAGTATTGTATCCTAGGTTGTATAAAAATCATATCAGCAAAATATATTGTGTCTGCGACGTAATCGAATGTCATCCAAACAGCTCGGTTTTGAGGTGTCTGGTAAGGAAATGTACTCCTCAATAGTATTACCCAGCCGTTGTATAATACTGATATTGACGCTATAGACATCCATACTATGTAGAATTTTTCGTTGGGGTCTATCACTCCTGAATCTGAAATAAAATTATCATATGTCTACAATGCATCTCACATTTATGTGCCTTCGTTTCAGGAGTTGGCCAGAAGGAGCGTGATGCACCAGGCAGACAAAGTTTCAGGTGTTTCATTATTAATTTAACATAAAGTGGATTAACACAAACAAATCGTTAAATAAACAATAGTTTGAATAAATAGTTTTATCTCACAATTAAAATCTCTTCTTTCTAGCTTTGATAGCTGCAAATTCAGAAATAACTTTATCAAAATTTATATTCTGTATTGCCTCGTGTTCGATGGCTAATATACCAATATTGCTAAGCCGCGATAGGGTCATTGTTGCCCGCAAATAGTTTTTTATTAATTTTAGTTTACTGTAACTCCTTTCACATGAAGCTACGGACACCTAAAAATTTTAGTGCAATCATAATATTTGTGTAAAATCCCATTCTACAATAAACTTAGCCATAGGGAATGACAAAAGTTTATGAGTGTGTGCGTTTGAATGAAGATATCTTCTGCTTTCCATATTTAACCAATGACACTTTTTGATTTTAGGTGGAATGTGATCATACTTCCAAATCCCATACACTAATCTGCAGCAACTATTCTGGACCTTTTGTGTACGCAATCTGTCAGAGTGTACTAAACAAGCTCCATATATAAAATCACAATATCTCATATGACTCAAAACTAGCAATTCACACAATGTCTTTTTAAGATCAAGTATACAGGGTGTTTAAGTTTATTGTGGCATAACTTTAAGATTCGATAGAACTTTTAAAATTAATGCATAAAGTCTATATAAACATGGGTCGAAAAATGCGTGGCTTCCGAAATACAGGGTTTACTTTCTAAAATAGTTTTTTTTTAAATATTTCGAACAATAATTGATGTATAACAGTGAAAATTGGTATACGAGGGTTTTTTGGTACGAAAAAACGAACCATGGGCATAGTTTTACTGTAGCCGCTAGAGGGCGCTCTCTACTGTACCTGTAGTGTATTAAAATGACCGAAAAATTTTTCTTAGTGCAATTTTTTTGCTTTTTGAATAAAAAACTTATTCACCGCACTTTTCAACATAAAAAGCTCTCCTGTGAGTTTTCGTTACAGTTAGCCGTTTTTGAGTTATTTCGATTTTTAAGGTTGGGAACATAATATTTGTTTTACATTTTAGATTTGGGCATTACAAGTAATTAAGATGATCGTTTAGATTAATTACTTGTAAATTATTTACAAATAAAATGCTATTGGATAGTTAGGAAAAACATACAAAATCTAAAGCAGTTGCTCGAAATGTAAACCCAATTGTTCAATACACAATTCACATCTACGAATGATCGAACGTGGTATAGCATTATTCAAATAAGGCCTTATTTCATCACATGCATTCCTGAATCTGTTTATTAGCATATCTCTTGTGGTTACGGGAGTCTGGTACACTTTTTCTTTTAGAAATCCCCACACAAAGAAATCTAATGGATTTAGATCAGGGGATCGTGGAGGCCACGCGACTGGTCCTCCACGGCCGATCCATCTTTCTGGATAATTTTCGTCTAGCCAGTTTCTAACTATTCTCGAATAATGAGCTGGACAACCATCAAGCTTTAAAAATTCCAAGAAGGTCGCAGCATTTAACCTTGCAGGCAAAAGGTAGGGTCCAAATAGTCGATTACGGTAGATACCAATCCACACGTTCACACTAAATTCATGCTGAAAATTTCTTTCCCGAACTGCATGCGGATTTTCATGCGACCAAATATGTTGATTATGAAAATTTACCACTCCACGTCTAGTGAAGCATGACTCATCGGTCCATAAAACGTTACCTAAAAACTCCCTATTATTATCAGTTCTATCAAGAATCCACTGACAAAATGTGATTCTTCGTTCTCCGTCTCCTGGCTGTAGTCCTTGCACAGGTTGCAAATGGTAAGGACGTCTATGGTCATTTCTAAGAACACGGTGAACATGGCTTGCTGAAATTCCCAAGGCACCAGAAACTCTTCTAACACTTGTGGTCGGATCTCTATCAAACTCACGCAGAATCATACGGGTAAATCTGCGCTGACGAGCATTTATGTTTTGATCCCTTTGGAGATTTCCAAAACCATTTTCAATTATTTGGCGATGCACTCTTACAAATACTGAGCGGGTTGGATGTCGTCTGTTTGGAAATCTTCGTGCGTATTCTCTGGCTGCTTCTGCTGCGTTTCCATTTACAGAGCCATACACAAAATGAATATCCGCTAACTCTTGATTGGAGAATAAAAATGGCATTTTTATAAAACTTACAAAAAAGAACAGGTAAAAGAAACTAAATTTCGTGCATTCACAATTGCAAAAAAAACGTTTCAGGTTTCAACAGACAACAAAACTAACTGTCAACTAATTGACGTTTAACCTTATTCTGCTTTCAATTTCAAAAATATTTGCAGGCACAGCCTACTTCTAAAAATTATCGAGATACTGACTTTTTAACGTTATTTTATCATGAATAATTAAAAATGCATCGAACCTTAAAAAATCGAAATATCTCAAAAACGGCTAACTATAACGAAAATTCACAAGAGAGCTTTTTTATGTTGAAAAGTGCGAAGAACCAGTTTTTTTGTTCAAAATGCAAAAAATTGCACTAAGAAAATTTTTTCGGTCATTTTAATACACTACAGGTACAGTAGAGAGCGCCCTCTAGCGGCTATAGTAAAACTATGCCCATGGTTCGTTTTGTCGTACCAAAAAACCCTCGTATACCAATTTTCACTGTTATTCATTAAATATTGTTCGAAATATTTGAAAAAAACTATTTTAGAAATAAATTTAAACACCCTGTATTTCGGATGCCACGCATTTTTCGACCCATGTTTATATAGACTTTATGCTTTAATTTTAATCGAATCGAATCTTAACGTTATGCTACAATAAGCTGAAACACCCTGTATGCCTGTTGCTATAAATTAGCTGTAATGATGCATAGCCTTACTTATGAGTGTTTTCATATGCTCAGAAAAGCGCAAATTGCTATCAATAATAAGTCCTAAATAACTAGCATAATCGCTGACTTCAAGAAGAGCACCGTCAAATGCCGGTAGAAAATCTAAACTCGTTGGATAACAAGCTATGTACAGTGTACAGTGAACATAATTATTTCTTATCTCTCTCATTTTTGCAATTCAGAAAGTTTGTATACGTAATTTCCAGAATGGATAAGAAAAAGTGAATGCGCAACTAGCTTTGAATCTCAATTAAGTGTATTTGAGACAAGAACCCAATGTAATTATCATCAATACATACAACTCACAGCTTAGACCTCCAGTAATGCCATCTCAGAAGCAGATTTTACATCACAACAGAGCCAAAGATTGATAACAAGCCTCATCACGTTTAGGCAACACGTACATACGTAAATGCTAAGTTAATATCTTGTAGAAAAACCTACATAATGTCAAAAAAAACAGCATAATGTCAAAAAAAATCGGCATAATGTCACTTTTCGAGTTACACATTATTGTTTTATTTAGCTTATAGTTTTGATAATCTACATTTCTCTTATAACTAATAAACAATAATTAACAAACGGTTTAAACTTTAACAATAATGTGTGACTATCAATTTTTAGCCATGACGTTTTCATGAAATCTTTATGCTATACTTAAATTTAAATTATTATTAATGACACACCTCCGTGTTCCTGTTTCATTTGCTTCACTGCACTTCCATACTGAAAGTACTTTGTAAGATACCTAAAGAAACCTAATTTTAGGTCTAAAAAAAATAACATACCACAAAATGTATAAGGATGGTCCAGTTCCTCTAGGCTTGCCTTGGGTGTGACGTCATATTTATTCGCAAACGAAATACTCAATTTTGGCTTAGGTGATGGTGGTTGATCTTGATCTAATGTCTCTTGGCTTACAGCGGAAGACGGGGTTGCAGGAGATTTGATCACTTCCTTCACTGCTTCAGCTCTAGTCGAAAACGCGTCCACCAAATGCCTGATTCTGTCTTGAATGAATTTTCTATTCGCCCTGAAATTATCCATAGCAGAACCATACCATATGTTATTCAAGAGAGCGGTTTTGAGACTGATCCCAACAACAGTGCTTGGTAGATGCGATTAACCCACTTCTAATGTGTAGAGACAACGCTAGCCGGCAATAACAACGAACGTTGGCGCTGAATGGCTGAAAAGGCGGCATTTCCTGCTATATCAACATGTGCGCCCATTAAGGGTACAAGGGGGATATATGCCGCTTGAGAAGTAAAATAAATCTAACAGGATACCCGTTTCTTAAGCAGCGGGTAGCGTATGTTTTGTTGATTTCACAACATCCGCGAAAATTACCTTGCTCTCCTCATACCCTCAGGCCCATACAGAAAAAACACGTACGTTTCTAAGAAATGGCTTCAAGTAGGTAGATCCTGCACTTCCCACGCAACGCCGTTATCAGTTCGTAAAGGATTACGTTGAACACAAGCTAGATCCTAAGTCAAACAGGTCCATACAATTAGTCTATAGTCATTCTTTCCCTATCCTATCGGTAGTGCATCTGGCAACGTCGCTTCTCCCCGATGCTTAATCCGGTCAGACGTGGCAGTGCGGTCAGAGTATAAGAAACACTATGCTGTGGCGCGACAGTAATACGTGTAATACCATACCAGAATAATGGAACTCAACCAAGACCGGGAGCAGCAGCTGCGACCGGTAGGTAGGCTATCCGCCTGTTGAAAGTATGTTTCTAAGTTTTAAGGGCTAATGAATGGAGAAATGTATGTATGCGTGAATTTACCAAAGTTGGGAGCGTATAAATGTACTAAAATAAAAGTTGAGATAAGTCCTCCCCACTCCCCAGAACCTTCCACCTATAAAAATATGTATTGTGACACTAAATTAAGGCGTTAGTATCCCGAGGTAAGTAGTATATACAACTTCGTTGGAATAAAACAACTTCTGTAACTTATACTTACTCCTCGAAGTTTGTATTGTTCTTAAATCTACCTTCTTGAAAATCATCTTCAGGATTATCCATTCTGTTGCCGTTTGGAGCTTCAATTACTTGGCACATGTTGCTCGTGTTCTTTTCGCTACACCAGTTTTTTAAAGAGTTTTCTGAAGATTTTGATTGCACTTGGTCCAGTAGTAGTTTCTCGGGAAATACCATATTCTGTAAAAAATAAGATTTTTTATACTTAAGTAGTGATAAAGACAAACTTCCGTTAGGAAATATACATAATACAATTTTTGAACTGAAGTGGAATCCACTTATAATGAACTTGCTTATAATTGGAAACCCGTTATTGACTAAACAATGATATGGGCGACGTTCAAATTAGTGACGGACATTTTCAAAAACGTGTTGTGGGATATCATGGCAGCCTTCTACAAGATGGGTCATTTAAGGTGGAAACATCAATCAACCCTATATCTTTGACATTAGTTGGCAGAACCACTAATGTCATACCGCGTTGGAAGCGTCATCTCTGTACAATTTTAACCATGGATCAGTACACACCAAAACAACGCGCTGAAATTATTCAGTTGTACCTTCAAAGTAACTTCTCAATCGTTAAAACTAAACGTGGATTTACTGTTATGAACCAGAAAATAAACGACAGTCGGCTGTTTGGGTGTTCTCAGGTGAAGAAAAGCCAAGAAAAGTCATCCGTTCTCGAAGTGTTTCGAAAAAGATGGCCGCGGATTGGTATGCCACCATTTGTTTGCCAAAAGTTATCACCGAGCTTCGAAAAATCAACCCCGAAAGAAGAATCATCCTCCACCAAGACAATGTAAGCTCGCACACAGCTCAAAAAACAAGGCAGTAGTTAACGAGAAAACGTGGAATCATTGGACCATCCTCCATATAGTCATGATCTAAGTCCTAACGATTTCTTTACTTTCCCGAAAATTAAAAACAGACTGCGTGTTAAAAACTTCCAGTCACCAGAAGAAGCAGTTCACGCATTCAAAAGTGCCGTTTTGAATCTGCCAGAAAACGAGTGGAATAAGTGCTTCGAAAATTGGTTAGAGCGCATGCAGATGTGTATTAATCTTCGTGGAGAATACTTCGAAAAACAAAGTCATTTAAAACGAACTACCGTGTTGGTTTGTTTCCATATGCAAAACTTAAAAGACCGTATAATTGTGTATAATTTCATTTAAGTTGGCTTACAATGCTTTCGACTAGGTTTATTCCATTATTATCAAAGTAGCTCAACACACTAAAAAGGTTACAAAACTTAAAAGACACCCGTAGTATGTACAGTATATTCAGATAAGAGATAGACCGGATGTAAACAAAAGGTTCGGGTGATTTTCACGCTAACGCCGCCGCACTAAGGAGCATTTAAGTTTGAAAACCGGTCAAAAATATTTTATGCGTTCTTTATCATTAAAAATGAATAAAAATGCATGTGTAGTTAAAAAAAAGGAATATATTCATTAAAATTAGTAAAAAAGGCAAAAATATTAAAAATTATTTCTATTCAGTTTTGGACTTTATGTATAGTCTTAAAAAAGACTAGTCCTATTCATTCCTATTCAGCATCAGTTTGCACTTCTTCGTCACTTGTTACATTTAGATCTTCCGCTTCTAAAAGAGCGAGCGTTTCCGTTGAGAACCGTTGTCTTTTTACTTGCTTCCTTTTTCGCACGCAACTTAGAAAAGGGTCCGATGTGAGTAATAGTCTGTTTAAAACATCTTGGTTGCACTGCGTTCTGGAAAATTTCCTGCCAAAATCTGTTCTATAAGATCGATAATGCTTGTTGCGGGCTTCTGCAGCCTCCTCCGACAATTGCCCGATAGGCAAGATGGCATGTTTTATAACTGTAGAGCCATGCACAAGGATTTTGTGTAGGGTTGGTGTCATTGGGTGCCATCCGTAGAGGTTGACATACAGGTGTGCAGTTTCTTCACAGTATTGCTCAAATTTTTGAATGTTTATTTTGTATCCAGAAGATATTGTTTCTAAAATAGTCTTGACTTTTTTTATGAATTCTATGTCAATACCGGTTATTTCTGCAGCCAGGTCTGGGTCACTAAAAAACCTTCTTGAAGTGTTCCCCGAATTGGAGTTTCCATAACCGGCTTTTGGCATGTCTATAATCAAACCAGTTTTTTCCCTATATTCCTTATAGATTCTGTTTTTGTTTTCTTTTACGACTTTTTTTTCTTCATCTGTACGAGCCTGCCATTTCTGTAGAGGAAGTTTGTAAGATACGTGTAAAATAGTTTCGAATAAACGTATTCTCGCATGTAGAGTGGACAAGCCGAATCGTAATGATTCGGGATCTTCAGCACTTTTATTTTTTAAATTGTTGAAGTCTTTGGATGTTTTGCCACATATGTAGCAACGCATAGTAGATGTTGTGCCGGTTACCGCATTGCAAACTTTAGCATCTACCATTGTGGGAATTAAGGTATGTCGCACATCAATGTCTCCCTTTGAACATAAGTTTGTTATTTTCGTCACAACCAGTTCTTTAGCTTGATCCTCGACGTATTTTATTTCCTGTTTTGTTACATCCACGGTTTCGTGTAAAAACTGAATACGTATGGGCCGGCAGAAACGCGTGGATGAGGGTGTAGGATTTTGCCATAAAATTTTGATTACCTCTTCTTTGTGGTATTGCAGCCTCAGTGGAACCAAAGAACTTTGGAATAGATTGGCATCGTCGCGTGAGCTATCGGTAAACTTCTGTTGAAACTGTTTCTGTTGCGAGCCATCACATCCCCATTTTATTATGAGTTCTAAATTCTTTAATTCCGACTCAGCCAAATGTTCGAGCGCTTCTTTTAGAAAAAGACAAAGTCTTGTAGCAGTGTGGTCGACTAGATCCTGAAGTATAACTTCGGCACCCGTTTCAGTAACTCGCATTGACTCTTCTTTCGGATAACAAACTTTTTTTGCCTCTCTGATAAGAGTGTAACAAGGAAACACGCCTTTATTTGATTCATGTAGTAGCTCCCACTGACTCCTAGTAAAATCGCCTTCAACAAATATCGATAATGCCTCTTCGGGTGTGTACTTCTTGATTTTTGTATTTCGAGCCATTTCTAAGGTTTTTTTATACTTTTTTGCTCTTGTTGGCGTACAAGTAACATCTCTTATGATTTTAGATGCTGAGGCATTTCCTGACATCCGCTGACTAACGCTAGCTGCATACGTTAGCTCCTCGACAGAAACTTGTTCCCGAAGTTCCTTTGTTTTACGCCGTTTGCTTCGATCTGACAGATCCTGAAAGTCCTTATTTGGCCGACCTGGCTTAGTAGGAGTACGTGTCCAATTATGTACTGATATTGAAACTTTAAGCCATTCGTCGTTATTTTTAGTGAATCGTTCCTCAATATAGAATGCCGACTTCCATCTCTTCTTTAGTTCTGATTTGAAATGCCTCAAGTCGTAACTTATAGTTTGGAATTCCTCTTGTGGACATTTTGTTAATTCCCGAACTTTATTTTCCACGAATAACAATTTCTCATCTAATTTTCGCACTGAACTCTCTTTAAAAATGTCAAATAGAGATTTCCTTGTCAATTGAATTACATTAGATGGTGCATCTGTAACAAATTAGAAAAAAAAATTACATTAATAAAAAAAACTGAATTTCGCCTCTGTCATTAAAACTGATGTTTTACCGAATTAGTGGAAATATGTGGAAAATAAAATTGTTCTGCAAATAAGGTGGAACTCTAACCTTTATTATAACAACAACTACGTAACTCGATCGGACTCGTAGATACGACAAAAATACCAATTTGTTGAAAAAATTATGTAAAAAAAACAATAATTACGCATGCCCTTAAAGTACAAAAAAATAAGATAAGTATCTTAAATTCAAACTAATTATGGATTAAAATTAATAACATACCTGGTTTTTCACTATCCATGACAAAATTTATGATAATTTACTTCAAATATAATAAAACAACAAACGATTGATTGTCCGAAATGAGAGCGTGTCGATCACATTGACGTGCACCGCGTACTGGGACTGGGTTCCGACTACCTGCTCGCCGAGACGATGAGTTACGATTTCGTTTGAAAACCGGTTTACGATAGATCAGTTACTTGACAACAACAAAAATGCGACTTGGGTGGAATAGGGCTCAATTTATATTTTGAACTTTTGACCGATTTTTAAGCTTAAATGCTCCTTAGTGCGCCGTCTCGACGTAAAACAGGAGCCCTCATTGGTCAATTCGCAATTAAATGCCTATGCCGAGCGGCAGAGCAGTCGTATCAAGGCAGAGTCACATTCAGGTTCAGACGTGTTACGTATCTCGTGTGCATCATTGCAATTTGATATTTCTTTGGACGTTTTCGTTTGTTATCTTATTAAGTTGTTGAGTTGAGTTTGTTATTGATTGTTATTGTTATCAACTGCTTACGCAAAATGCCCAGTAGTACAGATACTGCCGATGAAGTTGTAAACTCCTGTAGTCCACCTAGGAAACGCTCTAAAAAAGACACCTAAGTGCAGAAATGAAAGAGGTCATTTTGAATATATACAAGATCGAGCGCGAGGAGAACGAGGCATCAACCATCAAAGAAATTGTTGTGAAGGTTTCACACAAAGTTGGGGTGTGTCGCGCATCAGTGTTTAATGTGTTAAGACAATACAAAAAAAATCACACCTTTTCTGAGCCAATGACCAGTAAACATCGCAAAAGTATTGTTAAATCATTGGATGAAGCTGATAAGCATGCGGTTAGGAGGAAAGTGCATGAATTCTTCTTTAGGAATGAAATACCTACTATAGATAAAGTACTGCAGGAGGTAAATGGAGATACAACGTTGCCAAATTTCAAACGATCAACTTTCCATGCGTTACTGAAGCATTTAAATTTCAAATGGAAAAAACGGGGTCGTAATAGTTTACTACTGGATAGAGAAGAAATTGTGCTATGGAGGAGGGATTATTTAACAAAAATTGGGAAATATAGAAATCAAAACAGGAAGATTTATTACCTTGATGAAACGTGGGTAAACGCAGGACACACTACAAGTAAGGTATGGGTTGATGATTCTGTAACTTCATCCAGGAGGGCCTTTCTAGATGGACTGTCCACCGGATTAAAAAGTCCAGCAGGTAAATACGAGTAATAGACAACAATCGGATGTTTTTCAAACCTTGGGAACAAGGTTCTAAACATTAATTCCAGGGGGCAGATAAAACATATTACAAGTAAAAAAACTTTTATAACTTTCGATAAAATGCGTGGATGTTTTATTGTCATTTTCATTTGTTAGAACTTTTTTAAGCCATGTTTTTATGTGTTTTCGATATTTCAATAATTTTTTAATATAATCTTAAAATATGTCGAATATTATAAACTTAAAAAAAGTTACTAAGTTTTATATTGTGTACCGTTCCTAATATTTCTAATCATTTTAATTCATACTTTAAGCTTTATAAAGTTATAATTTGTTAATATTAATATTTGCGCGTATTTCATGTTCCTGATCATTCATTTTTTAAAGGTTTATAACTTTAAATTAAATTGTGAAGCGCTGAGTAATCATACGACGTTCAATATTCTTTCTTTCAATATGACTAAATAATCCCAATTATAGCAATCTGATACTCATGTCTCAATGTTTTTTCGCTGAATGTGATGAAAACATTTGAAAAAGGTTCGCTTATTGAAATAAATCTACACCAGTTAGTACTTCGATTTCCAGGTAAAGGAAAAAGACTCATTATCTGTCATATTGGCAGTGAGGATGGATTTGTTGTTGACGGTCTGTGGTGCTTTGAGTCTAAGAAAACTGGAGATTACCACGAGGAAATGAATGGCGAATCGTTTGAACAGTGGTTTTCAAAAATTTTACCGAACTTAGAGGAAAACGCAGTAATTGTGTTGGATAATGCGCCTTATCATTCTCGAAGTATGGAGAAGGTCCCAACAACGGCTTCAAGGAAAGTTGATGTTAAAAATTGGCTCCGCTCAAAAAATATCAACTTTGAAGAAGCAATGCTGAAAGTACAATTAAAACTGTGCTCCGTTTACCTCCATACTATTGCGAGCTCAATCCCATTGAGCTCATATGGGCAGAGGTTAAAAATTATATAGCTAAGCACGATACAACTTTTAAATTTTGTGACCTCAAAGGACTTTTCAAAGAAGCACTAGAATTAATAACAGCGCAAAAATGGGAAAACTGTATTAAGCACGTGAAAGACAAAGTTTAAAAGATAATGTTGGAACTGGACAATATTTTAGAGGAAGAAGTCGAGCCATTCATTATTGACGTTGGTGCTTCAGGCAGTAGCGATGATGAAAGCTCATCAAGCTCATCTTTCCAATAAAAGATGTCGTTCATCAAATTCGGTAAGTTATAAGTAATTATAAAGCTACTGTATTTTTTAATTAATTATTGACATTTTTGAACCCATTTTGGCAAAACCTATTCAAGAATCTACTTTCTGACAATGTTCAACCATGCACATTTTTTTACGTTTTGAACGTTTTAATTTGGTTACATATTTACCTAGAAATCAAAAAATATACTAATCAATATTCTAAAAGCAATTTTAAGAGATATACGATTATTTTTAATTTAGGCTAATTTAAACGCCATTTTGAGATTATATTCGATTGTATTTCACCAAACATCAGGCGGCATCCGAAGCTGGAAATCGAAGCGAAAATTTTGAAACCCTTATGTATATTTACATCATTATATATTTCTTACCCCACCCCCACATGATCCTATATCCATCACCAATCGTATACACATCGAATTGTGCTAATTTACTACAAAGTTACGCAAAGCAGCATCTACTATCTAAAATATGTACTGCGTGACTCTTAATACGTCCCTGCCGAATGTTACAGCGTTCGATGATCACGTGGTCTTGTTTATGTCCGGTCTATCTCTTATCTGAATATACTGTAAATGGTTTTTCTTTTTTTTTGTGGTAGGTGTTAATAAAAGTATTTTGTATTGGTAAACAGTTTTATTGAGTTTATTTTACAATGGTCAGCATTTTTATTTTCTCAATTCTGAACTTTTCTTTTATATCTCTAATATCCGAATTTTAAAATACATTTTATATATAAAAAAATATGCTTGACATCTACACTTTGACTGGCGTGGCTAAATCCATTAACCATATTAAATAATTTTTGATCAATTTTAATGAACTTGCGTTAAAATTGTCGGAAGTATAGTTGATTTCATTGTGTTTAAACTCTTAAATTTGTATTGCTGATGAACCACTGTTCACAAACCTCTTTGGAAAACTGAAGAAACGAAAATTCGAAACACCTTTGCTTTCCTTGTTGTTGTTGCTTGAACAACCCAGTACACAATAGTCGAATATTTTGTTCACCGTTTTTAAAGTATTCTTTATTCCATTATTATCAAAGTAGCTCAACACACTGAAAAGGTTGGCTACATCTGAACCAAGGCATAGACAGTATTAGAATATTATTTTCTGTAAGTATTTTGAGATTACTGATTTTTTTGATAACCTAGTGTGAATCTATAATTACTCCAAAATATTTTAAACTCTTGACTATATCGATTTAAAAAGCAAATTAAGCAATTTATTTTAGGTATTCACAATCATAGTCTGACTCACTTCACAAAACGTTTCCTTTTCTGCATACATTCATATGTATGATTAAATTTTTATTATCTACTGCCGATATCTCATTTTTGTAGTTAGTAAAAACGACCTGGATATCAAAATGCATGCAAAACTTCAGGGAATATACAGGGTGTTTCAGTTTATTGTTGCATAACTTTAAGATTCGATAGAACTTTTAAAATTAATGCATAAAGTCTATATAAACATGGGTCGAAAAATGCGTGGCTTCCGAAATACAGGGTGTTTAAATTTACCTTCTAAAATAGTTGTTTTTAAATATTTCGAACAATATATATAATAGTTTCATTGTAGCCGCTAGAGGGCGCTCTCTACTGTACCTGTAGTGTATTAAAAAGACCGAAAATTTTTTCTTGGTGCAATTTTTTGCTTTTTAATAAAAAAACCGATTCTTCGTGCTTTTCAACATAAAAAAGCTCTCTTGTGAATTTTCGTTATAGTTAGCCGTTTTTGAGATATTTCGATTTTTAAGGTTCGATGCATTTTTAATTATTTATGATAAAATAGCGTTAAAAAGTCAGTATCTCGATAATTTTTAGAAGTAGGCTGTGCCTGCAAATATTTTTGAAATTAAAAGCAAATTAAGGTTAAACGTCAATTAGTTGACAGTTAGTTTTGTTGTCAGTTAAAACCTGAAACGTCTTTTTTGCAATTGTGAATGCACGAAATTTAGTTTCTTTTACCTGTTTTTTTTTGGTTGTTTTATAAAAATGCCATTTTTATTCTCCAATCAAGAGTTAGCGGATATTCATTTTGTGTATGGCTTTGTAAATGGAAACGCACCAGAAGCAGCCAGAGAATACGCACGAAGATTTCCAAACAGACGACATCCAACTCGCTCAGTATTTGTAAGAGTGCATCGCCAAATAATTGAAAATGGTTTTGGAAATCTCCAAAGGGATCAAAACATAAATGTTCGTCAGCGCAGATTTATCCGTATAATTCTGCGTGAGTTTGATAGAGATCCGACCACAAGTGTTAGGAGAGTGTCTGGTGCCTTGGGAATTTCATCAAGCCACGTTCACCGTGTTCTTAGAAATGACCATAGACGTCCTTACCATTTGCAACCTGTGCAAGAACTACAGCCAGGGGATGGAGAACAAAGAATCACATTTTGTCAGTGGATTCTTGAAAGAACTGATAATAATAGGGAGTTTTTAAGTAACGTTTTATGGACCGATGAGTCATGCTTCACTAGACGTGGATTGGTAAATTTTCATAATCAACATATTTGGTCGCATGAAAATCCGCATGCAGTTCGGGAAAGAAATTTTCGGCATGAATTTAGTGTGAACGTGTGGATTGGTATCTACCGTAATCGACTATTTGGACCCTGCCTTTTGCCTGCAAGGTTAAATGCTGCGACCTTCTTGGAATTTTTAAAGGCTGAACATGCAAATATGTGGGATATTATGTTAGATTTAAGAAGATTGGCCTGGTTCCAGCTTGATGGTTGTCCAGCTCATTATTCGAGAATAGTTAGAAACTGGCTGGACGAAAATTATCCAGAAAGATGGATCGGCCGTGGAAGACCAGTCGCCTGGCCTCCACGATCCCCTGACCTAAATCCACTAGATTTCTTTGTGTGGGGATTTCTAAAAGAAAAAGTGTACCAGACTCCCGTAACCACAAGAGATATGCTAATAGACAGAATCAGGAATGCATGTGATGAAATAAGGCCTTATTTGAATAATGCTATACCACGTTCGATCATTCGTAGATGTGAATTGTGTATTGAACAATTCGGTTTACATTTCGAGCATCTACTTTAGATTTTGTATGTTTGTCCTAACTATCCAATAGCATTTTAGTTGTAAATAATTAATTTAATTTCGTAAAAATAATAATGGAAAATTAAACAAATTAATATTCTATTTGTTTATTTGGAGTTAGGATTTATTGCTGTGTTTAAAAACACAATCTAAACGATCATCTTAATTACTTGTAATGCCCAAATCGAAAATGTAAAAAAAAATATTATTTTCCCATAAATAATTAAAAATGCATCGAACCTTAAAAATCGAGATATCTCAAAAACGGCTAACTATAACGAAAACTCACAGGAGAACTTTTTTATGTTAAAAAGTGCGAAGAATCAGTTTATTTTATTCAAAAAGGAAAAAATTGCACTAAGATAAATTTTTCGGTCATTTTAATACACTACAGGTACTGTAGAGAGCGCCCTCTAGCGGCTACAGTAAAACTATGCCCATGGTTCATTTTGTTGTACCAAAAAACCCTTGTAAACCAATTTTCACTGCTATACATCAAATATTGTTCGAAATATTTAAAAAAAACTATTTTAGAACGTAAATTTAAACACCCTGTATTTCGGAAGCCACGCATTTTTCGACCCATGTTTATATAGACTTTATGCATTAATTTTAAAGGTTCTATCGAATCTTAAAGTTATGCAACAATAAACTGAAATAAATACGTTGAAAGTAACTTATATCTACAATACGTAAAAGTATCATACCTTTCGCAAGCGATGGGCAATGTAACCTATCTGACGAATGAAAATCCATTAAAAAGGAACACTTCTCAAATACTTAAGCTATAAGCATATGACTATTTTCAAGAATTTTAAATCTTCAAACACCGACCTTCCGATAGCGTGAGACATCGACGCGGAGACATTAGCAAACTGGGAGCACACATCGCATGTACACTTCCCTTAAAGGCTCCAATCTGCTTAATTGAATTCGAGCGGCGTCGTTAAGTTATACGTAATTAATGATAGTTACCTTTCTGAATCTGCAAATAGTATCCATTTCTGGGCAGATGTGCGTGCTGAACGTGGCTGGCCATGCTCTGGATACAAGGCTGTAGACGGCGCCCAACCTATTGCATACACATATACAGGTGGTATCTATGGTTACTCGAATTCAGAAGCATTAGCGTTCCACGCAATTTTTCCAGGTCGGAAATTTCAATGTAGAGCAAACTGCGAGCTGATCGTAGTAGCACATCCACCTAATTTACAAATATCACTTTGTACCTGTGCTCTCAAAATGATTGTGCATCCATCGCAATTTCTAACGGGTGATTTTTTAAGAGGTATAGGATTTGATTTTCAAAAAAAACACAAAAAATTTGAAAACGATTAAATATTTATTTGAGTCGATAGAACGGTCGATATAATTTAATGTTTAAAGATTATTTCATGTAAATGTTGGCCGCGGCTCCGCTTTAGATGGCCCATGCGCAAGGTCCAATTTTGGCACACTCTCTCCAACATATCGGCCGGTATCTCACGAATAAATGCTTCAATATTGGCTTCCAGTGCGTCAATCGTTGCTGGTTTATCCCTGTAGACATTAGCCTTAACATGGCCCCACAAGAAATAGTCCAACGGCGTTAAATCACACGATCTAGGCGGCCAATTGACGGGCCCCAAACCTGAGATAAACTGTTCACCGAACTCGCCTCTCAATAGGGCCATTGTTTCGTGTGCGGTGTGGCATGTGGCACCGTCTTGTTGAAACCACATGTCAGCCAAGTCCAGCTCATCCATTTTGGACTAAAAAAGTTTGTTATCATCGCACGGTATCGCTCGCCATTCACAGTTACGTTCCGGCCATTGTCGTCTTTGAAAAAGTACTGCCCGATGATGCCACCGGCCCATAATCCACACCAAACAGTGATTTGTTCGGGATGCATTGGTAGCTCTTGCAATGCTTCTGGCTGTTCTTCACTCCAGATGCGGCAATTTTGCTTGTTAACGTACCCATTCAACCAAAAATGAGCTTCGTCGCTGAACACAATTTTTCGATAAAAATGTGGATCTTCCTCCAACTTTGCCAGCGCCCATTCACCAAATTGGAAACGTCGTGGGCAGTCGTGTGGCTTCAATTCTTGCACCAGCTGTATCTTATAAGGTTTTACACCCAAATCCTGTCGCAAAATTTGCCACGTAGTGGAGTAACAGAGGCCCAATTGCTGCAAACGGCGGCGAATCGTCATTTCACAGTCATCACTAACACTGGCGGATACAGCCGCAATATTTTCTTCAGTCCTCACTCTACGTCTGCGTGTTGGTGGTTTAATGTCCAATAATGTCAACTGGGTTCGAAATTTAGTCACAAGCTTCCGAATAGCTCCCTCAGTAGGCCGACCAAATTGCCCATAAATTGGAAGCAGTGCTCGATGCACTCTCTTAACCGAGCATGAATTTTGATAGTAAAATTCAATAATTTGCAAGCGTTGTTTGTTCGTAAGTCGATTCATGGTTAAATTATAGACCAAACTGAACAAGGTTGACAATGACATAAGACACGATTCACGCGTCATCTGTCAAAAAAGTGTTGTCAAAAAGATACTAGCAAAAAAATCACCCATTAAATACGCACATCTAGAGCAGTGGTCGCCGACCCGTCGATCGCGAGCTACCGGTAGCTCGCAAAGGAAATTCTGGTGGCTCACAACATATTTTAAAAAGGTGTAAAGACCATAGAAGCTTCCGTAAATTCTGTAAATTCCCATAATAAACAGAAGCAGCGGCAACGCTGCGGTGAGCGATCTGTGCGAGAACGACCTCGATTACTTTGAACGGAATAAATACGCAAGGCGCAGCAATTAAAAACATTATGAGCAGTAGTAAGAAGATGAATGGGAATGGACAATATTTCTTGACAGAATTTAAAGGTAAAAAGGTATGTTTGTTATGTAATACATCTGTTTCCGTTGCTAAAAAAGGAAATATCGGAAGGCACTATAAAACTGTAAAGTCGAATTTTGAAAGATCATTTCCATTACGTTCTGCAACCAGAACGGAGAAACTGAAACAATTAAAAAATCAGTTAATTGGACAACAACAATGTTTTTAAAAACAATCGACAGAAGTAAGGCTGCAAGTGAAGCTACATACCGGATGTCCCAGATAATTACACAAAAGAAGAAACCTTCTTGAAGACGGTGAAATGATGAAACAGGCGTTTTTAGAAGCTGTAGATTCATTATTTGCCAAATTTAGAAATAAAGACGAGATAGTGTCTGCTATAAGATCTATGCAACTTTCTGCTAATACAGTGATGAGACAAGTAGAAGTAATGGGTAATGATATATACTAAGTGACATATAAATCCGAACACCCAGTTTAAATGGTTTTATTTTAATACAATTTTGTATAAGTACTTAGTGAACCATAATAAGTAAATGATAAAAATTTCAACATGATTGCACTGCTTTAAAGCCCTTTGACCTTTAATAATGTGTGGATGCAACGCGCCTAGGCATGCTTCTGATCAGGTGGTCAATGTCCTCCTGTGGTATCTCATTCCAGGCAACCACCAACTCCTCTCGAAGTGCTTCTAGAGCCTGAGGAGGACGTTGCAAATTGAGCAATCTCCTACCCATCATATCCCACACGTGCTCAATTGGGGATAAGTCGGGAGATCTTGGTGGCTATGGTAACAATGTGACATCATTATGTTGAAAGAAGTCTATTGTCACTCTTGCAACATGTGGTCGGGCATTATCTTGTTGGAAAGTTGGATCTGCCAGGGTGTCAAGATAGGGTAAAAGATGGGGTTCTAGAACTTCGTGGATATAACGCTGCGCGTTCATGTTACCTCTGATGAAGATTAAAGGTGACCTGGAACCATAAGCTATAGCACCCCAAACCATAACTCCAACAGTGTGATGAACATGTCTTTCAACAAAAAACTGTGGATTCCTCCTTTCACCACGTCGCCTTCTAACCCTGTCACGACCATCGTGCATGCCTAAACAAAATCGAGACTCGTCACTAAAGACAATACTGTTTCATTCCTGATCCCAGAGTGACCGTTGTCTGCACCACTCAAGGCGATTACGTCGGTGTTCTCGAGTTAAAGGGAGGACCCAGTGTGGCCGGTATGAAAACAAGCCAAAACTTCTCATTCGTCGGTAAACACTTCGCATGCCAATAGGTCTTCCGTGTTCTGCAAACCATTCATTTGCAATGGACCTGGTAGTGGAGAAACGGTCCCTTAAGGCCAATAATCTTAGGCGGCGATCTTCACGGTTTGTTGTTCTACGGCGGCGTCCAGTGCCCCTTGCTCTTTGCGTACGGCCTTCTCGAAGCCATGCCTGACAACACCTAACCACAGTGTCTACACTTCTTTGCACTCTAACTGCCATTGCCCGAAAAGAAAGTCCAGCTTCCCGAAGTCGCACTATACGGCCCCTATCAAACTCACTAAGTTGACGAAATCGTACAGGTCTCCGTACTCTAGGCATCGTAACCGATCGTAAAGGATGTCAAGAACCAAAATCCGCCAACGTTGATTCTTTACTGCGGCTGAAATATTCATTTTTAGAGCGTTAGTGACTTAAAAAAAAAGCAGTATAAAAACCGGAATGTCCAATTTACAGTAAGATAAATACATTCACCAACTTTTATTAAAATAAAACCATTTAAACTGGGTGTTCGGATGTATATGTCACTTAGTATAGTTTTACAGTTAAGAAATGACTACGATAACTGTGCTTATTTTTCACTGCAGTTGGATGAATCCACAGATAATAATATATTTATTGCCCAACAGATACATCCATTTAGAGGACAATAGAATTTGACGTTACAGTATTTTTAACTACAATCATAGCTCGCCCAGTATCTGAAAAAAATGAAAGAAAAAATAAGTAGCTACACCTACTCACCTACAAGTCTTAAATGCTATAGATGGAATAATAGTAGTCGCTGAATACAGCTAATATATCTTTGACTTTATCATGATGATTGTCACAATTATCAGCTATGGTGTTAAAGCTGGAGCACATAAAGTACACGGGTGACTTAATCATAGCATTAGAATTTGGTGTTTTTAAGTAAAAAGCGAGAAATCTTCGGGAAATGCGGGACGGTACATGAAAAGGCCTTTGAGAAATCCATATAGACCACATCCATCTGACCCCTATTATCTAAGACTTCTGGAATTTCCTGGGTGATTGCAGTTAAGTTAGAAATAGTAGAGGGATTGCGCATAAATCCATGTTGCGTCTCAGATATTATATATATATACAGGGTGACTTCAAAGTTGAGTCATTTATTGTAACAGTGAGTAGATCTGATCAAAAGAAATGTTTTTTTCCTTTATCATTTTTCTGGTAAAATTAAAGTAACAAAGTTATAGCCCTTTGGAAGTTTGAGTACCGCCCTGTCTCAATAATAATATTATGTGCTCGTGTTTGGCGACAACGGATATAATCCGCCGTATCAGTTCATCGCATCGGAAACAAAAAAGCGAAAGAATTTGGAACGATGTTTTTACAATTATTTAATTCATTTGTATACAGTCAGTGTCAGTGAATAGTGGTGTCTGTTGCGTGGCTCAAACAAAATAAAAAATGGCACATGTTTATGCGGATCAGTTTCCCAATCGAGTGCAACCAACCCCTCGTGCCTTTGTTAATGTAGTACAACGGGCTCGTGAATCAGGTGACGGCATGCCGGTGCTCCAAGACCTCACGATCAAATACAGGTCCGCACTGAAATACTTGTCGGGAGGATACTTTATAAAACAAGGTAAAATTTTTTTTATAATTTTTTTTATTTTTACACACATATTTTGGTTTATCTTCCTTCTACAATCATTATCTGAAAATTAATGACTCAACTTCAAAGTCACCCTGTATATATATATATATATATATATTTACCAAAATTATCCAATACAGATATAGCTTGGTAATTTTCGATTTTACTAGGGTCTCCAGCTTTAAAAATAGGGCACACTCTAGCCAGTTTTCATATTTTAGAAAAAGTTGCTGTACTGATGATGATGTCGTTGACACCTCTCAGATGGCCGTGTTCGTCAGGATGGTTTTTAGTGATTTTACGATTAAAGACCATCTTTTGA